ATTTACACACATTTATACACACATTTTTACACACACATTTACACACACACACATTTACACACATTTACACACACATTTACACATTTACACACATTTACACACACATTTACACACATTTACACACATTTACACACATTTACACACACATTTACACACACATTTACACACATTTACACACACATTTACACATTTACACACATTTACACACATTTACACACATTTACACACACATTTACACACATTTACACACACACATTTACACACACACACACATTTACACACACACATTTACACACATTTACACACATTTACACACACACATTTACACACACACACATTTACACACACACATTTACACACACATTACACACATTTACACACACACACACATTTACACATACATTTACAAACATTTACACACATTTACACACACATTTACACACATTTACAAACATTTACACACATTTACACACATTTACAAACATTTACACACATTTACACACATTTACACACACATTTACAAACATTTACACACACATTTACACACATTTACACACACACATTTACACACACATTTACAAACATTTACACACACATTTACACACATTTACAAACATTTACACACATTTACCCACACACACATTTACACACACACACACACATTTACACACATTTACACACACATTTACACACATTTACACACATTTACACACACATTTACACACATTTACACACATTTACAAACATTTACACACACATTTACACACATTTACACACACTTACACACATTTACACACATTTACACACATTTCATTTACACACACATTTACACACACACATTTACACACATTTACACACACACATTTACACACACACATTTACACACACATTTACACACATTTACACACACACATTTACACACATTTGCACACATTTACACACACACACACACATTTACACATACATTTACAAACATTTACACACATTTACACACACATTTACACACATTTACAAACATTTACACACATTTACACACATTTACAAACATTTACACTCATTTACAAACATTTACAAACATTTACACACACATTTGCAAACATTTACACACACATTTACACACACACATTTACACACATTTACAAACATTTACACACATTTACACACACATTTACACACATTTACAAACATTTACACACATTTACACTTACACACATTTACACACACACATTTACACACATTTACACACACACATTTACATTTACACACATTTACACACACACATTTACACACATACATTTACACACATTTACACACACATTTACAAACATTTACACACATTTACAAACATTTACACACACACATTTACACACATTTACACACACATTTACACACATTTGCACACATTTACACACACATTTACACACATTTACACACACATTTACACACATTTACATACATTTACACTTTTACACACATTTACACACACATTTACACACATTTACAAACATTTACGAACATTTACACACATTTACAAACATTTACACACATTTACACACACATTTACACACATTTACACACACATTTACACACATTTACACGGAAAAACATGAATCAGAAGTTACACAAACCGACAGCGACACTTCAGACTAAAGAACAAAATTCTAACACAGCCTCGGGTCAGCGTCTGCCTCAGGTCGTCGCTCTGGTCGCGGCCGCCTCAGGGGCAGACAGAGCGGTGCCTCAGGTCGTCGCTCTGGTCGCGGTCACTTCAGGGGCAGACAGAGCGGTGCCTCAGGTCAGCGTCTGCCTCAGGTCGTCGCTCTGGTCGCGGTCGCCTCAGGGGCAGACAGAGCGGTGCCTCAGGTCGTCGCTCTGGTCGTGGTCGCCTCAGGGGCAGACAGAGCGGTGCCTCAGGTCAGCGTGTCTCTCTGGTCTCAGGTCTTCGCTCTGGTCGTGGTCGCCTGCGTGTCAAACGAGGGCTTCGTGAACCGTCCGGACTCGCCGCTCTCCGTCTGCGTGTTTAACGGAAACGCTGGTGCCTGCGGCCTGGCCCAGGGGGCGGGGTCTGTGGCGCTCGTCTTTAGCTCCGCCTCCATCGCCCTCGACCTGCTGCTCCCCCACTTCAGCGCCGCCCGAGACCGAAAGAGACTCGTGACAGCGGATCTCCTCGCCTCAGGTCCTCCTCTCACCTCCTCATCTCAGGTCCTCCTCTCACCTCCTCCTGACCTCCTCGCCTCAGGTCCTCCTCTCACCTCCTCCTGACCTCCTCGCCTCAGGTCCTCCTCTCACCTCTTCACCTCAGGTCCTCCTCCTGACCTCCTCACCTCAGGTCCTCCTCTGACCTCCTCACCTCAGGTCCTCCTCCTGACCTCCTCACCTCAGGTCCTCCTCCTGACCTCCTCACCTCAGGTCCTCCTCCTGACCTCCTCACCTCAGGTCCTCCTCTCACCTCGCCTCAGGTCCTCCTCTCACCTCCTCGCCTCAGGTCTTCCTCTGACCTCCTTTCCTCTCCTTGACCTCTCCTCAGGTCCTCCTCCTGACCTCACCTCACCTCAGGTCCTCCTCTGACCTCCTCACCTCAGGTCCTCCTCCTGACCTCCTCACCTCAGGTCCTCCTCCTGACCTCCTCACCTCAGGTCCTCCTCCTGACCTCCTCACCTCAGGTCCTCTCCTGACCTCCTCACCTCAGGTCCTCCTCCTGACCTCCTCACCTCAGGTCCTCCTCCTGACCTCCTCAACTCAGGTCCTCCTCTCACCTCGCCTCAGGTCCTCTCCTGACCTCCTCACCTCAGGTCCTCCTCCTGACCTCCTCATCTCAGGTCCTCCTCCTGACCTCCTCACCTCAGGTTCTCCTCTCACCTCGCCTCAGGTCCTCCTCCTGACCTCCTCGCCTCAGGTCCTCCCCTGACCTCCTCACCTCAGGTCCTCCTCCTGACCTCCTCACCTCAGGTCCTCCTCTCACCTCCTCTGTCTCGTCTCCTCGTCTTCGTCTCCTCTGACCTCTGTGCTCCTCTTCCTCAGGCGTGTGGAGTCTCCTCGTCTCCTCGTCTCCTCGTCTTCGTCTCCTCTGACCTCTGTGCTCCTCTTCCTCAGGCGTGTGGAGTCTCCTCGTCTTCGTCTCCTCTGACCTCTGTGCTCCTCTTCCTCAGGCGTGTGGAGTCTCCTCGTCTCCTCGTCTTCGTCTCCTCTGACCTCTGTGCTCCTCTTCCTCAGGCGTGTGGAGTCCTCTGATCGTCTCTCTCTCGTCTTCGTCTCCTCTGACCTCTGTGCTCCTCTTCCTCAGGCGTGTGGAGTCTCCTCGTCTCCTCGTCTTCGTCTCCTCTGACCTCTGTGCTCCTCTTCCTCAGGCGTGTGGAGTCTCCTCGTCTCCTCGTCTTCGTCTCCTCTGACCTCTGTGCTCCTCTTCCTCAGGCGTGTGGAGTCTCCTCGTCTCCTCGTCTCCTCTGACCTCTGTGCTCCTCTTCCTCAGGCGTGTGGAGTCTCCTCGTCTCCTCGTCTTCGTCTCCTCTGACCTCTGTGCTCCTCTTCCTCAGGCGTGTGGAGTCTCGTCTGGTTCGTCTCCTTCTGTTTTCTCGCTCATCAGTGGCAGATCACGTCGGTGGAAAATGATCCTCTGAGCGAAGGAGCCGACGCCGCTCGAGCCGCCATTTTATTCAGCTTCTTCTCCATCTTCAGCTGGGTACAAACCGGGACTAAACAGGGACTAAACCGGGACTAGACTGGGACTAAACCGGGACTAGACTGACTAGACTGGGACTAAACGGGACTAAACCGGGACTAGACCGGGACTAAACCGGGACTAGACTGGGACTAGACTGGGACCGGGACTAGACCGGGACAAACCGGGACTAAACCGGGACTAGACGGGACGGGACTAACTGGGACTAGACTGGACTAGACTAAACCGGGACTAAACCGGGACTAAACCGGGACTAAACCGGGACTAGACTGGGACTAGACTGGGACTAAACCGGGACTAGACCGGGACTAGACCGGGACTAAACCGGGACTAGACCGGGACTAGACTGGGACTAAACCAGAACTAAACCAGGACTAAACCAGAACTAAACCAGGATTAAACCAGGACTAGACCAGGACTAAACCAGGACTAAACCAGAACTAAACCAGAGGACTAAACCAGGACTACTAGACCAGGACTAGACCAGGACTAAGCTAAACCAGGACTAGGACTAAACCAGGACTAGACCAGGACTAGACCAAGACTAGACCAGGACTAGACCAGGTTTAAACCAGGACTAAACCAGGACTAAACCAGGACTAAACCAGGACTAAACCAGGACTAAACCAGGACTAAACCGGGACTAAACCAGGACTAAACCGGGACTAGACCAGGACTAAACTGTACTACAAATACTACTGCTCTACAGGACTAGTGCAGTAGTATTTGTAGTACCTGTAGTACTTGTAGTATTTGTAGTACTTTTACTTGTAGTACTTTTCTGTTTTGTTGTCTCAGGGAGGTCTCACTCTTCTCTCTATGGAGCGAATCAAACGAGTCGAGTTTGAAGAAGAATACGACAAACTCTTCACTCCAACCGGCCAATGAGAGTGCAGCATTTACTCCCCCGACCAATGAGAGCGCAGCATTTACACCCCCGACCAATGAGAGCGCAGCATTTACTCCCCCGACCAATGAGAGCGCAGCATTTACACCCCCGACCAATGAGAGCGCAGCATTTACTCCCCCGACCAATGAGCGCAGCATTTACACCCCCGACCAATGAGAGCGCAGCATTCACTCCCCCGACCAATGAGAGCGCAGCATGTACTCCCCCGACCAATGAGAGCGCAGCATGTACTCCCCCGACCAATGAGAGCGCAGCACCTCAGACCAATCACAGCAGAGACCCGCCCCCTTTGTTCCGTTTCATATTTAAATTTAAACTAAATAAATTTGAATAAAAAGTTTTTATTTCACATTTGTATTTTGTTTTTATTCATTTTTACACAAAACACGTTTTTATCAAAGAATCATTTAAAATAAAAACTCAAAATAGCAAGAAGCCTGAACCGGAGAGAACCAGAGGGCGGGGCTCCAGGTGAGAGGGCGGGGCTCCAGGTGAGAGGGGAGGGCGGAGCTCCAGGTGAGAGGGCGGGGCTCCAGGTGAGAGGGCGGGGCTCCAGGTGAGAGGGGAGGGCGGGGCTCCAGGTGAGAGGGCGGAGTCTGAGGCTCAGGTCACTGTGAGATCCAACTCCTCGTCTTCATCAGGAGGAAGACTCACCTCTGTCACCTGCACAAAACAGAACTTCAGAGACAGGGACAGACAGGGACAGACAGGGACAGACAGGGACACACCTGTAGAAAATGCTCCTGCTCCTCAGGGTCAAACTGATGAAGCTCCTTCAGATCCACCATCACTTTACCATTTCCTGAACAGACACGAGAACACGAGGAGAACACGAGGAGAACATGAAGAACGTCAGAAGAACATCAGAGGAACGTCAGAAGAACATCAGAGGAACATCAGAAGAACATCAGAAGAACGTCAGAGGAACGTCAGAGGAACATCAGAAGAATGTCAGAGGAACATCAGAGGAACGTCAGAAGAACATCAGAGAAACATCAGAAGAACGTCAGAAAAACATCAGAGGAACATCAGAAGAACATCAGAGGAACGTCAAAGGAATGTTAGAAGAACATCAGAGGAACGTTAGAAGAACATCAGAAGAACATCAGAGGAACGTTAGAAGAACATCAGAAGAACGTCAGAGGAACATCAGAGGATCATCAGGGGAACATCAAGGGAACACAAACCAAGTAGAACCAGCAGAACATTGGAGAACGCCTGGACCAGAGCCTTTTCTCTCACGGCTCTCTGCAGACGCCCACGAGCGAGTAACATCTCCACAGGGTCTGAGGGTCAGAGGAGGAGAGGGTCAGAGGGTCAGGAGGTCAGGAGGTCAAAGGGTCAGGAGGTGCGTTGTACCTGAGCAGGTGAGCGTTTGCTGGAGCACAGCGGCGCCTCGGGTCGTGACCTGGTGGAAGGGGAAGTGCAGCTGCAGTAAACACCCGAGTCTCAGAGCCACGCCCCCAGAGTCCGGGTCCAGGTCCGGGTCCAAGTCCTGGTCCGGGTCCAGCTCCTTCAGCTGCGGCACCGACAGGGTCAGAACGTCAGAACAAAACCAAAACCTGCCCCCTCCCCCCTAACCCCTCCCCTTCTCCCTAGCCCCTCCCCCTAGCCATTCCCTCCCTTAGCCCCTCCCCTAGCCCCTCCCCTCTCCTGAGTGTCTCACTGTGATGATGTCAGAGCTCCAGCCGTTGAATCCCAGGATGTGATTGGCCAGATTCAGACAGTGGGCGTGGCTCAGCGGCGCGCTGCGGGACAGGAAGTGCGGCGTCTTCTTCGAGCTCAGACGCACCTGAAAGAAGACGGGAGGGCATCTGACGCAACTGATATCTGCAGCGCGAGACACGAGGGAGACGAGGGAGACGAGGGAGACGAGAGGGAGACGAGGGAGACGAGGGAGACGAGGGGAGACGAGGGGAGACGAGGGAGACGACGAGGGAGACGAGGGGAGACGAGGGAGACGAGGGAGACGAGGGGAGACGAGGGAGACGAGGGAGACGAGGGAGACGAGGAGACGAGGGAGAGAGGGGACGAGGGGAGACGAGAGGGAGACGAGGGAGACGAGGAGAGACGAGGGAGACGAGGGGAGACGAGGGAGACGAGGGGAGACGAGGGAGACGAGGGAGACGGAGAGGGGAGACGAGGGGAGACGAGGGAGACGAGGAGACGAGGAGAGACGAGGGGAGACGAGGGGAGACGAGGGAGACGAGGGAGACGAGGGAGACGAGGGGAGACGAGGGAGACGAGGGAGACGAGGGGAGACGAGGGAGACGAGGGAGACGAGGGAGACGAGGGAGACGAGGGAGACGAGGGAGACGAGGGAGACGAGGGGAGACGAGGGGAGACGAGGGAGACGAGGGAGACGAGGGGAGACGAGGGGAGACGAGGGGAGACGAGGGGAGACGAGGGGAGACGAGGGAGACGAGGGAGACGAGGGGGAGACGAGGGGAGACGAGGGAGACGAGGGGAGACGAGGGAGACGAGGGAGACGAGGGAGACGAGGGAGACGAGGGGAGACGAGGGAGACGAGGGAGACGAGGGGAGACGAGGGGAGACGGGAGAGACGAGGGAGACGAGGGAGACGAGGGGAGACGAGGGGAGACGAGGGAGACGAGGGAGACGAGGGAGACGAGGGGAGACGAGGGGAGACGAGGGAGACGAGGGGAGACGAGGAGACGAGGGAGAGAGGGGAGACGAGGGAGACGAGGGGAGACGAGGGGAGACGAGGGAGAGGGGAGACGAGGGAGACGACGGGGAGACGAGGGGAGACGAGGGAGACGAGGGAGACGAGGGAGACGACGAGGGAGACGAGGGGAGACGAGGGAGGACGAGGGAGAGAGGAGACGAGGGAGACAAGGGAGACGAGGGGAGACGAGGGAGACGGGGAGACGAGGGAGACGAGGGAGACGAGGGAGACGAGGGAGACGAGGGAGACGAGGGAGACGAGGGAGACGAGGGAGACGAGGGAGACGAGGGGAGACGAGGGAGACGAGGGAGACGAGGGAGACGAGGGGAGACGAGGGGAGACGAGGGAGACGAGGGAGACGAGGGGAGACGAGGGGAGACGAGGGGAGACGAGGGAGACGAGGGGAGACGAGGGGAGACGAGGGGAGACGAGGGGAGACGAGGGAGACGAGGGAGACGAGGGGAGACGAGGGGGACAAGGTGACGAGGGGAGACGAGGGGAGACATGGGAGACACGGGAGGACATCTGACCTTGAGCGGCCGGTCCTGGAGCGGGCGGCGGGAGGGCATCAGGGTCTTTCCGTCCGTCTCTCTTTGGGCTCGAGCCGCGTGACCAGACGAGAAAAACTTCACCAACGCCGAGAAAAATCCAGGAGACGAAGGTGAGATCTTCAGGAGGTAAAGAGGCCCGAAAGACGAGAAGAGGGACGAGAGGGAGACCTGAGGAAGAGGAGGAGAAGAAGAAGAGGAGGAAGAGGAGGAGGGGAGAAGAAGAGGAGGAGAGAGGAGGAAGAAGAAGAAGAAGAGGAGGAAGAAGAAGAGGAGGAAGAGGAGGAGGGAGAAGAAGAAGAAGGAGAGGAAGAAGAAGAAGAGGAGGAGGAAGAAGAGGAGGAGGAGGAAGAGGAGGAGAGAAGAAGAAGAAGAAGAAGAGGAGGAGGAAGAGGAGAGAAGAAGGAGAAGAGGAAGAAGAAGAGAAGAAGAAGAGGAGGAAGAAGAGGAAGAGGAGGAGGAGGAAGAGTGTATGTTCATATTTATTCGTTGTGTCTCGATTCTGCGACTCACAACGTCCGAAACTCAAACTTCACCAAACTGCAACGACAAAACTAAATCCAACAACAAAACAATGTTCAACAACTGTGTGTGTGTGTAAAGACGTGTGTGTGTGTGTGTAAAGGTGTGTTTGTGTGTAAAGGTGTGTTTGTGTGTAAAGGTGTGTTTGTGTGTAAAGGTGTGTTTGTGTGTAAAGGTGTGTGTGTAAAGGTGTGTTTGTGTGTAAAGGTGTGTGTGTAAAGGTGTGTGTGTAAAGGTGTGTTTGTGTGTCATGTTCATGTTCTCACCAGGAGGACATGTTCAGGTTGAGAAGCCTCCAGGTTCCAAACAAACAGAGTTTTACTGTTCTCCACTGGAACCACAAACTCCACCACCTCCACCTCCACCTCCTGCTCCACCTTCTGCTCCACCTGCTCAACCTCCTGCTCCACCTCCACCTTCTGCTGCACCTCCACCTCCTCCGGCTCCACCTTCATCATCTACATCTGCTGCTGAAACACAGGAGAGAATCAGAGGAAATGCAAACTCCAACATCTTCATCAGCTCCACAGCTCCTGAAACGAACGAAACGAAACGAGACGAGACAAACACCGCGCAAAAGAAAACTCTGCACTTTCACAAACTCACTTTGTCTCCTCAGTGTCCCGTGTCCTCCTCCGTGTCCTCCTCCGTGTCCCGTGTCCTCCTCAGTGTCTCGAGTCTGTGGGAAGTCAAACTGTTCACATTTACGGCTCTTTTTAACACGTCGACACTTTATTTGACATTTAAATGAATTTATTAAAATCATATTAAATTATGATTTGACGCGTCTAAAAGCGCCGGGTGATTTTGATCCATGTGATTTTGATCCTTGTGATTTTGATCCGTGTGATTTTGATCCATTTGATTGTGATCCTTGTGATTTTGATCCTTGTGATTTTGATCCTTGTGATTTTGATCCGTGTGATTTTGATCCATTTGATTTTGATCCGTGTGATTTTGATCCTTGTGATTTTGATCCTTGTGATTTTGATCCGTGTGATTTTGATCCGTGTGATTTTGATCCGTGTGATTTTGATCCGTGTGATTTTGATCCGTGTGATTTTGATCCTTGTGATTTTGATCCTTGTGATTTTGATCAGTTTGATTTTGATCCATTTGATTTTTTTTTATCCTTGTGATTTTGATCCGTTTTATTTTGATCCATTTTTTTTTTGATCCTTCTGATTTTGATCCATTTGATTTTGATTTGACTCAGATTTTCCAGTCAGTGAAGTTAAATTGTTTTCATCCAAACACGGATTAAAACAAAGAGTCCAGACGAGCACTGATCTTTGTTCACTTCACTCTGAATAAACAAACGTCACACTGTGTAAATTTGTCTGCCGCATTTAAATCCACCTCAGTGTGTTTGTCTTTTCAGTTTGTCGCTCATTAAACTCATTATTTATCTATTTGTTTACATTTGTCACATTAAAAACCACAAACTCGGCGCGTTTCCTTTTTGTGCCGCTGCATTTTTCTCCCAGCAGATGGCGCCAGGAGCCGAGGACGGACTCGGACTGTTTTCAATGTTGAGCTGTGACATTTGAATAAACTGTTGCTGTGGAAAAAACATCACAGGCAAATTAGACCCATGTTGTCTTTGTTAAGAGCACTTTTTTTTTTTTTTTTTTTTTTACTTAATCATTCTTTTCTTTTTCAGCAATAACACAGCGGTTTAAATCAATGCAAACGTTTCCATTTTCTTTTTTTTTAACAATATAATTTTGTAAAAAAAAAAAAAAAAAAAGGAACATAATTAAACTCTTTATACCAGAGTCACTTCTGCTGCACCAACGACGCAAAAAACAGGTTTCATAATAAACAAAGACATTCAGAAATGTGGGACTTTTGAATCCTTAAAGAGAACGTGACTCAGTGTCCTCCTCAGTGTCTGTCCTCCTCTGTGTCCTCCTCAGTGTCCCGTGTCCTCCTCATGTCTCCTCAGTGTCCCGTGTCCTCCTCAGTGTCCCGTGTCCTCCCTCAGTGTCTCCTGTGTCCTCCTCAGTGTCCTCGTGTCCTCCTCAGTGTCTCGCGTCCTGTCCTCCTCAGTGTCCCGTGTCCTCCTCAGTGTCCCGTGTCCTCCTCAGTGTCCCGCGTCCTCCTCAGTGTTCGCGTCCTCCTCTGTGTCTCGCGTCCTCCTCTGTGTGTCCGTCCTCTGTCCGTGTCCTCAGTGTCTCGTGTCCTCCTCAGTGTCCGTGTCCTCCTCAGTGTGTCCTCCTCAGTGTCTCGTGTCCTCCTCAGTGTCCCGTGTCCTCCTCTGTCGTGTCCTCTCAGTGTCCCGTGTCCTCCTCAGTGTCTCGCGTCTCCTCAGTGTCTCGCGTCCTCAGTGTCCGTGTCCTCCTCAGTGTCTCGTGTCTCCTGTCCTCCTCTGTGTCCGTGTCTCCTCCTCCTGTGTCTCCTCATGTCCGTGTCCTCGTCCGTGCTCCGTGTCCTCCTCTCAGTGTCTCGCGTCCTCCTCAGTGTCCGTGTCCTCTCAGTGTCCCGTGTCTCCTCAGTGTCTCGTGTCCTCCCGTGTCTCGTCCTCAGTCCGTGTCTCCTGTGTCCCGTGTCCTCTCAGTGTCTCCGTCTCCTCTGTGTGCTCTCCTCTGTGTCTCCGTGCCTCTCAGTGTCCCGTGTCCTCCTCAGTGTCCCGTGTCCTCCTCCGTGTCCTTCTCAGTGTCTCGCGTCCTCCTCAGTGTCCCGTGTCCTCCTCCGTGTCCTTCTCAGTGTCTCGCGTCCTCCTCAGTGTCCCGTGTCCTCCTCCGTGTCCTTCTCAGTGTCTCGCGTCCTCCTCAGTGTCCCGTGCCCTCCTCAGTGTCCCGTGCCCTCCTCCGTGTCCCGTGTCCTCCTCCGTGTCTCATGTCCTCCTCCGTGTCTCGTGTCCTCTCAGTGTCTCGTGTCCTCCTCCGTGTCCTCCTCAGTGTCTCGCGTCCTCCTCAGTGTCCCGTGTCCTCCTCAGTGTCTCGTGTCCTCCTCCATGTCTCGTGTCCTCCTCCGTGTCCTCCTCAGTGTCTCGCGTCCTCCTCAGTGTCCCGTGTCCTCCTCCATGTCTCGTGTCCTCCTCAGTGTCTCGTGTCCTCCTCAGTGTCTCCGTGTCCTCCTCAGTGTCTCGCGTCCTCCTCAGTGTCTCGTGTCCTCCTCCGTGTCTCGCGTCCTCCTCCGTGTCTCGCGTCCTCTCTCCGTCCTCCTCCGTCCTCAGTGTCTCGTGTCTCGTGTCTCGTGTCCTCCTCGGTGTCTCGCGTCCTCCTCCGTGTCTCGAGTCCTCCTCGGTGTCTCGCGTCCTCCTCTGTGTCCCGTGTCCTCCTCAGTGTCTCGCGTCCTCCTCTGTGTCTCGCGTCCTCCTCCGTGTCTCGTGTCCTCCTCCGTGTCTCGTGTCCTCCTCAGTGTCTCGTGTCCTCCTCCGTGTCTCGTGTCCTCCTCAGTGTCTCGTGTCCCTCCTCCGTGTCTCGTGTCCTCCTCAGTGTCTCGCGTCCTCCTCAGTGTCTCGCGTCCTCCTCAGTGTCTCGTGTCCTCCTCAGTGTCTCGTGTCCTCCTCCGTGGACACTAAAAGTGGTTTGGACATGATTTCAGGCAGCAGTGATCTCATATAGAAATCATTTTCTATCAATAATATTTTTAATCTGGTTAAATAAAGTCTGGGCTTTTTATTTTCTTTAAACAGACAAAACAAAACTTCTCATGTTCAGATCCTCGTCTTTTCTTTTCTGCAGTAAAACAAAAGTTTGTTCGTGGAGATTTGAGCTCAACAGGAAATTTGAAGAAAACAAACATGAATTTTGAGGATGTGGTTGATACTAGGGATGAGCATGATTAGTCAATTAATCGATAATTGATCATTAAGAATTTCATCGATTACGTTCATTTTAATGGACAAACTGAATGTATGTTTGTGTGTGTTGTGACCAAACAGGTGTGTACATGTGTCTCTGCATCAGAAGGAGCGAGACACAAACAGTGGGTCAGTCTGTAACGAACTGAAGCACAAATGTGGATTTAACCAGGATTTGTAGAAGAAATTCCACACTTTCCGTTGCGTTGGGACAAGTGTGAGTCCATGTGCACAGTGGATAAAGCAGCACATATGTTTCTGTGTCCAGTGGGAAAAAGTTTTTCCAGGTGAGAGTCGCTCAATGTGGATGACGAGGCCCCGCCCCCCTCCCCCCGTACGCTGTCCTGGTTTTGACAAACACAAATCTGGTCACACTGACCTGTATTCACCTGAGTCATGTCTTTTAATCCAACACAAGTTGAACCACATCAGCGACACAAGAGCTGGAGTTTTATCTTCACTTAGTTTATGTAAATTAGCGATGCGGTTTTAAGTTTTGTTGATGTGGCTCTAGAGTCGTTACGGTTTATTTGTCGTAAAGTTGAATTTATTTATGCAGATAGTAATAATAATGATGATCATTTTAAACAAAGGGACAGTGTCAGCATCACCTCCAGTCTCTCGCTCTAAAACCTTCAAATCAGGCAAGAAATCTCGGGGTAATAATGGACTCAGACTTGAACTTTAACAGTCACATAAAATCAATAACATCTGCCGCCTTTTACCATCTAAAAAACATAGCAAAAATCAAAGGTTTACTGTCTAAATCAGACTTGGAGAAACTTATCCATGCATTTGTCTCCAGTAGGTTAGACTACTGTAATGGTCTGCTCACTGGTCTCTCCAAACGAGCTGTGAGACGCTGCAGAACATCCAGAACATCCAGAACGCTGCAGCTCGGGTCCTGACTCGAACTAGGAAGTACGAGCACATAAGTCCTGGTCTCAGGTCTCTGCTCTGGCTCCTGTGGCTCAGAGACTTTAAAGCAGCTCTGTTTGTACAGTGTTCTCCATGTCCGAGCACCAAAGTCCATCTGTGACATGTTAGTGTCATATGAACATCTCACACTCTGAGGAGCTCAGGGACGACCTCCTGCTGGTGCCCAGAGTCACGACTAAACAAGGGGAGTCAGAGTTTCAGGTTCATGCAGCTAAAACCTGGAACAGTCTGAACATGTGAGACAGACTCTTCTGTGACGCTGTTTAAATCCAGACTCAAAACATTTCTGTTTAACTGTGCATAAAACTGAAAGGTTTTCATTCCGCACTCTTCTCTCCAATTTATGTCTCTCTTTTTTCATTTTAATCTTCATGATTAGTTATGTTTTGATTTGTTTTTATTATGATTTTAATGTATTTCTTATTCTGTAAAGCACTTTGAATTACTTTGTGTACGAATTGTGCTGTACAAATAAACTTGCCTTGCCTAATATAAAAACGTTAATGATTAATCGATAATCGATCGTTAATTCTTCCGACGATCGATTAAGAAAATTTCATCGAATGCCCATCCCTAGTTGATACATTCATGTCGTTTTAAAAAACATGACAATATCAAGTAATCCAAAGTACTCAGATTACATTACTCACCTTAAGTAACTTTTGTATGTAACTGTTGTATGTAATCTGTAATCTGTAATCTGTAGGGGATTACATTTTAAAAGTGACCTTCAATACACCGCGGGAGTCTGCGGGGCTGTGGACAGAACATCACACACCAGACTGATGTTGCAGTGGGACAGTGGAGCAGATCTGGTTGTTTCCATGTCCCAGTAAAAAAGCGTTTGTAAAATCAGGGGTCACAGGAGTCTGTGTCCAGGCTTTTGTAAGAAGGTGAGGGAAACATAAATGTGCACAGGGAGGTTTGTGTTGTTCTTCTGGACTCTTTGTCTTTAACTCCACTGGAGAATCAGAGGATACAACGCTTAGACGCGTCAAATAAAAAGTTATCGTGTTAAAAACTGGGTGTAAATGTGAACAGTTTGGTTTCCCTTACGTGTCCTCCGTGTCCCGTGTCTTCCGCGCGGGCCCGACACTTTCACTCGTCTTTTCTTCGTGTTTTTTCGTCTCTTTTCTCTCCGTGTGTCACGTGGTTTTGTTTACTTCCAGATCTGTTTCCCGCTGTTCCGCGAATGAGGGCGGGGCTTGGAGTGAGGGCCAATCATAGAGAGGTAGAGTGACTGACAGGACGGTGGACCAATCACGGGGGAGTATCCGGAGATTTTTTTTTTTTTTTTTTTTTAATAAACGTGAGAAACTTTGATCGGTGGACTGTCTGGTTTTATCTGAGTTTTCTTCAATGTCCTGGACAAAATCTGCGCCCGGACTCATTTTAACAACACGTGTCTGTAATAAAAGTGTAAATAAAAACACGTGTCTGTAATAAAAGTGTAAATAACGACAGGTTGTCCTGGTTTAGTCCTGTTCACAACAGTTAAAATACTGTATTTCAGTACAAATGTTACTAATAAAATATTTAAAATAATATACTACTTGATAAAAAAAAAAAAAAAAAAAGAAAAGGAGCTTTAGACAAACAACATTTATATTTTTATACATCTGTAAAAAAAACAACACATATCCACAGGATTTTAGCGAGCATCAGCCAGTCTTCATCTCAGCTGCATTTCAGACAGTGGGTTTTTCACGAGTTATAATGGGTTATAATGAGCAAATCCATCCAAGTCACGGTGACGTTAAACTTACCGGTAAATACTGTAAACATACCAAGGTGTTGCCTGTAAACACGAACATTAATTGATGCTGGAAGCTGCATTAAACTGTAATGTGTAACATTTCATTGGCTGTGACGTCTGTAACCAGGACAGTTTGGTGTTTGGTGTAAACTGGGACATTTCAGCGTCCAGAGGAACTTTTGGTGGCATTTCATGCGAGAAATACAGCTGAAGGTTCAGACTGACTGATGCTCGCTGTGGCTGTAGCCGTGAATGTTTTAATCTAAACACAAAGAGAACCTGATATTTGCTCATTAGCCCTGGGAGAACGTTACGTCGGATGTTGCCAACTGGCTCCACTATGTTTTCTAACATATAGGTGCAATGTCCCGTTCAAAGGAGGTGTTTCTACACAATATTATACAGCAGCGTTCGGTTCCCGAATTCAAGACATTTTACAATAGATTTTAATTTAACCCTCTTTGTTGGTCGCTGTTGTAGCTTCTTGTGCCATTACTCTGTTTTTACCCTCTGCTACAAACTTAAACATGCGCAGTCTTGATCTTGATCGATGTTTCTTCTGCTCGATGAATAATGTCTGTGAAGTGATGACGGATTTTTGACAGTAAAGTTCCGTCTGTGAATTCGTATTCGTACTGATGAAAGTGTAATCGTAAATTTTCATTTGGTGATTGTAATTCATGACGTCGTAATTTTTCAATTCGTATTCTGATGGATAAAATACACACAATATATTTTATGTACGACTGGACTCATTTGAGAGTTTACAAATATTTTATGCGCAAATACAGCCAAATATGCACAGATTTCCCACATACGCACGGATTTCTATTTTATGCGCACAAATATTTTTGACAGCTTTCTTACTCCATAGAGCCTCCTCTATGGAGTAAGAAAGCTGTCAAAAATATTTGTGCGCAGGTTCAGTCTTTAGCGCCTCCTTCTGGAGGGAGTGTGTTTGGTCTCACATTATTGCGCCCTCTGCTGGACACAGTGGGAGTTTGATCTGAAAAACTTGGTGTTTTCAGGTCGACAGAACCGAGTCGGTGCCGATTCCTCCAACGAATCTCAAACCGAAAATCACAAGAACACAGCTTCAGAGGAGACCTGGTCCAGTCCTGATCCAGACCTGATCCAGTCCTGGTCCAGACCTGATCCAGACCTGGTCCAGACCTGATCCAGTCCTGATCCAGACCTGATCCAGTCCTGGTCCAATCCTGGTCCAGTCCTGGTCCAGTCCTGGTCCAGACCTGGTCCAGTCCACCTGGTCCAGTCCTGATCCAGTCCTGATCCAGTCCAGTCCTGAATCCAGTCCTGGTCCAGTCACACGTTGGGTCTGATGGCGGCGTAGTTCTTAACGACTCCAGAGAATCGGACGATCCGGATCTCGGGATTCAAAAGTTTAAAATCCTGCCACAAAAACTCTGGAGATAAAACCTTCGAGGGTTTGTTCTCCCAGAAATATCTGGAACACAAAAGTATACAAAAATATAAAACACACAAAAATATAAAAACACACAAAACTACAAACACAAAAATAAAAAAATACTGCAGTTACACAGTAATACCACACACACACACACACACACACACACACACTCACACTCACTCACTCACTCACACTCACACACTCTCAGGCTGCCCCCCACCTCCCCCCTCACCTGTCCGTGCGGCTCCTCACCTGTCCGTGCGGCTCCTCACCTGTCCGTGTGGCTCCTCACCTGTCCGTGCGGCTCCTCACCTGTTCAGGTGGCTCTCCTCCTGCCAGGCGGCCTCCACTCCTTCCTTCTCGTCGTCTCTGAAGTTCTTGGAGCAGGTCTGGGTTAAGACCAGGACTTGGTCCACGTTTCCTCCGAAGGCGCCGCCGCAGTAATAAAAGTCTCCATCAGAGGGCGCCATGTAGGCCCTGGACTCAGGACGCCGCTCGTACGGGAACCGACTCCGCCCATCGCGATAGTAACCTGCAGGGTCAAAGGTCAAACTGTGGGCTGAAGAGGGACAGTCCCGGTCTAGTCCCAGTCCAGTCCAGTCCAGTCCCGGTCCAGACCTGGATGCACCACGGCGACCCGGTCGCTCAGGCTCTCGGGGCCCCAGCGTCCGTGGAATTTGGAGTCGACGTCGAGACAGAAGACGTAGTGAGTGGAGCCGCTCAGCTCCAAGAGCAGAGCGTGAATCATCTCCATCCGACGAGCCGAGATCTCCTGCCAACGCCGAGACGACGGGACCACCCGGACCGAGACCTGGACCACATCACAGACCACAGACCAGGGTCAGACCAGAGACCAGACCAAACCAGACCAGAGACCAGACCAGAGACCAGAGACCAGAGATCAGAGACCAGAGATCAGAGACGATCAGAGACTAGAGACTAGAGACCAGTCCCGGTTCAGTCCAAGTTTAGTCCCGGTTAAGACCCAGTTTAGACCCAGTTTAGACCCAGTTTAGACCCAGTTTAGACCCAGTTTATTGCTGGTTCAGTACCTGTCGTCCTGGGGCCTGTTGGATCTTGGGGACGTCTTCGGGTCGATCGGTGAAAACGTAAATGTGAACGTTAAAACCAACGAAGAAGAACTGCTCCGAGGTCAACAGGAAGTCCTTCAGGAACTGCACGTACCTGAGGAAGAGGAGAAGAAGAAGGAGGGGTCAGGGGTCAGGGAGGGTCGGGGGGGGGGTCACAGGTCAAAGGTGACTGACTTCCCGACGGCGAACACGGTGGCGGCGATGGTCAGGTTCTGGGGTTTGAAGATGGCGTCCATCAGCACAGGGTCAAAGGTCGACTCCCAGACGACGGGGGCGAGCCAGGGCGTTACCGTGACGACGTCATACGCCTGAAACCAAAACAACACCGCGTGACCTTCGACCTCCTCAAAACGCTCGGCTCCACCTGCCGACACGGCGACCGCGACACGACGACCGCGACACGACGACCGCGACACGACGACCGCGACACGACGAGACGCGACACGAACGACGGCGGGTTTATTTTATTTATTCACATTTTACTTCGAAAATAAACAAAAAACAAACACTTTGACGCCGAGAGGTTTTTGTTTGGAGAAAATAATCTGAAAACGACACAAACGACCAAAAACGAGATAACCAATAAATAACACATTTATTACAATTGTCATGATCACTGAAGAACGATATATATAAATAAAGTAGTTAATTAAAATATCATCATCATCATTTTCCCTTCGGTTCAGTCGAGATCAAAACTCCACGTGATTCTAGTGCAGGTGTGTGGAGTTTAAAAACACACTGGAGCACTTCCTGTGTCACCACATGATGACATCACGAGGTGGAACAGAGTGTTTTCTCCGCTGAGTCTGGAGACACGGGAAAAAGCGACACTCGTAGAGCAGAAGAAGTACTAGTACTTTGACTCCAGAGCGTTAAAGTACTAGTACTTTGACTCCAGAGCGTAAAGTATAGTTGAGTCACACGTGTCTAAAAAACAACCTGAGGCAATTTGAAGAGAAAAAAATGCAAGAGACGACGACGACGACTAAACCTAAAACCTAAAAATAAAAACTAAATTAAAATTAAACTCTACCAGTGTACGATGCATAAGGTGGGACTGTTGATGTTGGTGGAGACAGGTGTGGACAGGGTAGACAGAGACAGGTGGAGACAAGGTGGACAGGTGTGGAACAGGTGTGGACAGGTGGAGACAGGTGGAGACAGGTGTAGACAGGCAAGGTGTAGACAGGTGGACAGGTAGACAGGTGTAGACAGGTGGAGACAGGTAGACAGGTGGAGACGTAGACAGTGGACAGGTGACAGACAGGTGGTAGACAGGTGTGTAGACAGACAGGTGCGGGCGTCTCACCCGTTGGTGATGCTCGGTTGTTCGTACTGGATTCTGAAAAACAGTTTTTCTGTTATGGGACGAGTTTCATCCAAATCAGTTTAACGTTTCAAAAGTCTCATTCTGACCGGTGCGGCAGGGTGGCGGGGGCGGCAGGTGCAGCAGGTGTGGCGGGGGCGACAGGTGCGGCATGATTGGACCAGTGTGGAGCTCGGAAAAAGGCAAATTCAAAATTTAGATTTCTGAGTCCTGGTTTAGTCTGGTAAGTTAGGGTCAGGGGTCAGGGGTGGGATTTGGGTCAGGAGTTGGGGGTCAGAGGTCAGGGGTCAGATTCCTTTTGTTCTGTCCTCACTGAGACATGAGCAGCTTGAGCTCGAGTTAAACTCTGACTCAGTGACGAGACAGAAAGTACTCGAGTACTCTCAGTGATCAGCCCAGATCCACTGGGAGCAGAACATGAAAACAAATACAGGAAAAATCATAAATTCAGATCCGTTTTCATCGTGAGCAGATGATCTGAGGACACTACAAAGAAAATAACAAACAACTGACTCATTTCAATAAAAACATCTTTTTAACTCACTCCCACTTTTTTTAAGTTATTTATACACCAGAAAATTTCCCAAATTAAATGTACAAACGTTTCTGTACGAGCGTCGCTTCTGTAGGAGCTGCACCAAGACCAAGTTCACACTGAAACAAATTTGCATCTCGTCGTATCAGAAATGATCTGTGTCCACACTCGTCACTTCTGTGTCCGTGGTTCTTTTCTCTCCCAAAACTTTGACACATTTGTTTCTGTTTTACATAAACTAAACATTAAATCACATGACTCATTTGCATAAACTAATGTGTGTGAGAAAAACTGTTGTTCTTTGTGTCTGATGTGGTTCAGTTTGTGTTGGACTAAGGAACAGAGATCGTGGAATATGAAGTGTATTCTCCCTGTGTCAGAGGGGTGTTCTTCTGGTAGTGTCAGAGGGGTGTTATCTCTGTGGAGGGGGTTTTCTCTGTGTGACAGAGGAGTGTTCTATCTGTGACAGGGGTGTTCTCTCTGTGTCAGAGGGGTGTTCTCTGACTGTGACGTCAGAGGGGTGTTCTCTTGTGACAGAGGGGTGTTCTTCTGTGTGAAGAGGGGTGTTCTTCTGTGAAGGGGGTGTTCTCTTGTGTCAGAGGGGTGTTCTCTCTGGACAGAGGGGTGTTTCTTCTTGCTGGCGAAGAGGGAGTGTTCTCCTTGTGAAACTTTTCACAATTAACGTGTGCAGGTGTGCACACACACACGTTAGTGATGACATATTGTGTGTCTTAGTGTTTTGTGGTGAGTGAGTTGGTGGTGACAGACACACGTCAGAGTATCAGAGTTTTCACACAGTCCCCATCACACTGTACTCACATACACACTAGTGTGAACCAACCACTCACATACACACTAGTGTGAACAGGGCCTGAGTCTGATTTTTAGCCATGTGAGTCCGTTGTGTTACGTTTTGTTTTGTTGTGTTGCGTTGTGTTGCGTTGTGTTGCCTCTTGTTGCCTCTTCCGTATTTTCAAACTTCCTGTTCCACAGACTGGTGTGGATTTCCAAAATAAAAGCACAGATTTCAAAATAAAAGTATCTGCATTAAACTGAACTAAAAAAACAAAACAGCTTTAGATTTTTCACTTAAAATGATCCAAATAAAAAAAGAAAAACACAGAAAACATTTTACTTTTGAACAAGTCTCCAACCTGAAAAAAAAAAAACAGAACTAAACCAGGTCTAAACCAGGACTAAACCAGGTTAACCAGGACTAAACCAGGACTAAACCAGGACTAAACCTGGTCTAAACATGAAGAGGCCTGACCTGGTCTGGTCCTGGTCGCAGTGGGTCTGGACTCTGTAGATCTGGGACACGTACAGGAGCCTGGGGACACACGGGGAGGGCATCTGACTTAATCTCACACGTGATTAAAGAAAAAAAACAAACTGAACAAAATGAGTCAAAAAATATTTCAGTTTAGATAAAACCACTGAGGAAGAGGAAGGAGAGAGGTAGGAGTTAGGAAGTAGGAGATAGAGGATATGAGGTAGGAGACACAGAGGAAAAAGTTTTGTGTTAAAATCGACTCATTTCATTTTCTCAGAGTTTATCTGAGTCACTCTGTTCTAGAGTGAATTTAACACTTGTGTAAATGGGAAAGGATTTCTCCACTGAGTCTGGAGACACGGGAAAAAGCGACACTCGTAGAGCAGAGAGTACTAGTACTTTGCTCCAGAGCTCCAGACTAGTACTAGTACTGTACTCCAGAGCGTTAAGTACTAGTCTTGACTCAGAGCGTTAAAGTACTAGTACTTTGACTCCAGAGCGTTAAAGTACTAGTACTTTGACTCCAGAGCGTTAAAGTACTAGTACTTTGACTCCAGAGCGTTAAAGTATAGTATTTTACTCCAGAGTGTTAAAGTACGGGTGTGCGCAGTGTCACAAATACAGAAACAAAGTTGAGTCACACGTGTCTAAAAAACAAACTTGAGGCAAATTTGAAGAGAAAAAAAAAGAAACGAAACGACGACGACGACAATCTTTATCTTGTGTAAATGTTCATGAAGTAACACTGTGTAGAGTTATCCTGATTTAACTCAACAACTCACAGAGGGGTTTTATTTTGACACTTTATTTGAGTTAATTTAAGATGAAATGGTTTTCTGTG